TTACTTGATATTTTAAGAGGAAAAATAAGTGTTACGTATAATTTCCGTTTTTAAAGGATCCAACCATGAACTTCACCATTATAACATGTAATATTCTCTTTATATGGTTAAGTGGTAAAGCAAATCGATTTCTCCATGGCAACATTAAAAAAAATATCTTGTTGCTTATAATTTCATGTTACGATGAACTTTTCGTGTTATTTGCCATATACGTCAGAGGATGGAGTGAAAGTAATGGACGAGGATGGTTGACAATGAGAGTCGCTTCTAACCGGTGATTAAGGAACGTGGTGCCAGTGAAATAGCATTAGAAAGCGTCACTTACTGTCCAGAACCCCGACTGTCAATGCGTCACCTAACACAGGAATAATGTCATGGACTATTTCTTCAAGAGAAGAAAAACGTGTGCCATATTGTAACTATCTTTAATTGACATTAGATTTTTAGGTTCAAGCACGTGCTGTCAAGGCATCAGATCTTGCATGTACGAGAAACACGAATAGGTCCATACACTGTCTGTTCAGAGCGAAGGAGACGATTGAGAACAACGTTACATGTAAATGTAGCAAGGAAGTCATTCTGAGTCTGATAAATTCGTTCGACGTTCAACTAAAATTAAATGCACAATGCATTAAGTTGTAACTTTTTTTAAATCGTTAATTTTCCAGTCAATAAGTGACTGTTGGAGTCGGAGTTCTGAGTGTAATAACTTTACAACTTCGATCCCGTGCAGGAGATTGTAGCTAAACCAATAGAATTAACAGCGTGTGGCTGTTGAAGCATCTCTTAGAACCTTTAATTAAAATCGAATATACATGGTTTATTCCTAGAAACGTCTCTACTTCATACATGAAAACATAATATCGTTTATTGAAATTATCTATATGAAAATATATGAGATGTTTCTGAGGCTAATTTTGTCAGGTAAGAGTGTCTTGTGTTTTTAGTACAATCTTCACGTCAGAGCAACGTAAACGTCGGTACAAGTCTATGGTTGTTAAAACTGGGGTGTACTTGGCTGATGAGTGCGTCAACAGCCAAGATGAATCACTGTGGTAGAACTGGTGAAAATAACTGAATTTCTTGCTGACAGTATCTTCATTGAGTTAAATGGTTAGATGTTGACATATTCCTCGGAACTAACTTCACCCTTCTTTGGGCTAATTTGTTTTCTTACCAAATTATTTGAAGAGTTATCGCAACAGCACGTGAAGATCTCTTATCCAATCAGAACAAGAGGAAATCTTGACATATGTAATATAAAACAACATTAATTACAGTACAAAGGTCTAAGGTCAAAAACACCTTTCATCCTTATCAAGTGCTCAGGAAATCGTTAACTCACGACAACTCTGTAAACCGAACTTTACTGTAACCTTTACACTTCTTGCTGAAATTGAACAGTACATCTCATTTTTAGGAACTCAAGATTGGACAAGCAAACAATAAATTTTGAATTTGAATTAAAACAAAACAATATTTGAAACTATATCCTTCAGTGCAGCAGTCTAGCATTGCATAATCCAATATGTGATAAAAATATATAAATGAATACAACAACATACCAGCAACATACACTAAATCAGAATCACAACGCAAGGGACATCACCTAATTACACTTACTCCAGTGTGTCAGTGGCACGACACACCTACTCCAGTGTGTCAGTGGCACGACACACCTACTCCAGTGTGTCATTGGCACGACACACCTACTCCAGTATGTCAGTGGCACGACACACCTACTCCAGTGTGTCATTGGCACGACACACCTACTCAAGTATGTCAGTGGCACGACACACCTTCTCCAGTATGTCATTGACACGACACACCTACTCCAGTGTGTCAGTGGCACGACACACCTACTCGAGTATATCAGTGGCATAACACACCCACTCCAGTATGTTAGTGACACGACACACCCCCTCCAGTGTGTCAGTGGCACGACACACCTAATCGAGTATATCAGTGGCACGACACACCTACTCCAGTGTGTCAGTGGCATAACACACCTACTCCAGTATGTCAGTGACACGACACACCCACTCCAGTGTGTCAGTGGCACGACACACCTAATCGAGTATATCAGTGGCACGACACACCTACTCCAGTGTGTCAGTGGTACTACACACCCACTCCAGTGTGCCAATCGCACGACACATCTACTCCAGTGTGTCAGTGGCACGACACACCTACTCAAGTGTGTCAGTGGTACGACACACCCACTCCAGTGTGTCAGTCGCACGACACACCCACTCCAGTGTGTCAGTGGCACGACACACCTAATCGAGTATATCAGTGGCACGACACACCTACTCCAGTGTGTCAGTGGTACTACACACCCACTCCAGTGTGCCAATCGCACGACACACCTACTCAAGTGTGTCAGTGGTACGACACACCCACTCCAGTGTGTCAGTCGCACGGCACACCTACTCCAGTATGTGAGTGGCACGACACACCTACTTCATTATGTCAGTGGCAAGACACACCTACTCCAGTGTGTCAGTGGCATGACACACCTACTCCAGCATGTCAGTGGCACGACACACCTACTCCAGTATGTCAGTGGCACGACACACCTACTCCAGTATGTCAGTGATACGACACACCTCGAGTATATCAGTGGCACGACACACCTACTCCAGTATGTCAGTGGCACGACACACCCACTTCAGTATGTCAGTGGCACGACACACCTACTCCATTGTGTCAGTGGCACGACACACGGGGACACATAAAACCTTCCCCAGTATGTCATGGACATATAAAACCTTCCCCAGTATGTCGGGGACATATAGAAATAACCTATCAGTCGATGAGACCATTTTTTTACTATATGATTACTATATTATGTACACCCCGGGCCTTATTACTGCATTTTTAACATTGTGATGTTGTACTTCTTATATTTTTTTTTATAGAATAACAACCATGATAATCAATTGATACTCACATAACATACACAGCCTCCATTGGTTTCAAACATGTATAATTACCAACCTCTATTATCTACTATTTCCTCTTTCAGTACGAGTACGCATGGCACGTGCTCATTATCGAGTACTGAGAAAGACATGTCCTAACCGTTGATGTGACTTATTCTCTTTTGTCCGTTAGCAAATCTTCTAAAGCGACAAATGTTTGATTTACCGTTTACATCCTGGGGTTGACCGATGTGTTTGAATAATCTTATTGATTGGGAAAATATCGTTCTGTTTTGCAGGAATACTGACGCTTTTGATGAGAAAGCAACATTTTTTTTTCAGGATCGGCTTTTCAGTAATCTAGAAAATAAAAGAAAAATCAAAGATTTGGTATAACCATTATGAAAAACAGAAATCAATAAAAAAAATATATCGATTGGAAATTAAAGCTTTCAACAAAAGCTCGTGTGTTTGTTTTTCTCTCAGTGTGAATTATAATTAAAACCGATTATGTCATCGTTCAGTTTGAAAATTTTCAAATTTATGTTTTTAACATATATATAATGAAGTTATGTAGAGCTCAAATACATAACAGACCCGAGATCCCAGATACTATGTGGTTAAGGCACTTATAACAGTTGCCGTATCGGTGAAAACAATCTACAGACAGTATTATTGTCCATCAACAAAATAAAAGGCTCACAGCCGTCTCGTTTTTTGGTTATATAGAAATAACGAAGATTGTTTCCGATAATTCTGATTAATCTAGATGACGAATGTTTGCCGTGAATATGGTAACAAGATTATGAAAAAATATATAATAAAATACTTAACATTATCAGTAATTACAAACAGATGGCGTCTGTAAAACGCCACCAAAACCCAACATTGTTCACTGCAGTATAGGGGCCCATTGCCACCATAACATGTAGTGTAGCCAAAATCTTTCTGAAAATAGTCCACTGTCATGTTGATTCGGTAACTGCCGTTCCATACAACTGGAGGATTTAAGATCAGAAGCTTATATGTGGTTAACAATAACATCTTATTCAGTATACTGCAAATCACTTAGATTTTGCGAATAATTTATTTCGCGGAATTACCTCCTCAGACATATTCGCGAATACATGATTTTACGAAAAGTTGTCTGAACATTACATTAAATTCGGGGAATGGGAATTTAGACATATGAACTCTGATATTAATAACCGTATCAGCGTGGATGTCATCAGAAGTTATTTTCGTACAAATGATCGCGAGGGACTTTAATTCGCGATTGACTCTCCTCGCGTATTAACGCGAAAACAAATCCCACGCGAAATATAAGTGTTTTTAGTAGAGCATATGTCCATAGGTTGAAGGTAGAGCAGGTGTTAAGCCATTATCACTAACCCTATACAGAAATAGCAGGATAAGCAACGGTTCACTTACGTGTGTTTTTGCGTCTGAAAGATCAATACATGTAGGTTGTTTTAACTTAATTTCGTCGAAAAGAACGAAAGAAATCACTGAAATAGAATTTAAATCTTTGCCTCTCTTGGTGTTCTTGGGTTACGTGAGATCGGGAGAGGAGCTTCAAATTGACATTGATTCAATTGTGTTCGTGGCCTTAAACTACATTTCTATTGGTAATGCTTATTAAGTGGCTGCAACAGAAATGTACAATCGAGGTTTAAAGAGAAAAATAAATTTCATCAACATATGTATGTCTTTTTGGCGTGTGTACTTTAAAACGTGGTCGCACTTGACACTAATTCTCAAGAAATAAACTTTACCTGTTGAGACTGTAAATGTCAAGACAGATGAATTTCTTTCAGTAATTACACACTCCAATGTCATTCAGTACTTTCGCTGGGACTATTTTTTCTTCCCGCATGTACGGTGTCGGCGAAGCTCTCGTTTGATATATTATTGTGAATTATCTAACCTTAATTCCACTTTACATCTGTAGAAAACCTTATCGGGTGAAACCAATCCCAATCTTCCACTCTAAAGAATCCATTTATAAAAAATGTTGCACTACAATCAGGATGTTATCTCCACATGTAGTAAATTTTCGTCATTCCATTTTTTCAGATGACACAAGGAATATCATTGTTGCTTGTTGTGTTTACCAACTTTTTCGTCGTACACAGCAATGGGTCCTACCTCCCCGGTGCTCTTGGACTTTCTAAGTCGAATGAGGTCAGTAACTTTATAGACACAGTTGTAGCGGAAGAAGAGAAGACCTTCTACGCTAAAGTGATACAGAGACTTATGAACCGCGCAGCCGCATTGGAAGAGGAAATGGACGACAACAAGGGGGGTCATTTTGATACAGTCGGTGACATGAGCAGTACTGGCGATCTCACTGGTGTGAAACGCTCCATGGACAAACGAAAGGTTTTCTGGCAGCCTCTTGGGTATGTTCCGGCTTCAATGCGCATGTCATCAAATAATAAACACCAGTCAAGTTCAAAAGACGCAGGGAGGAAAGGTTTTCGCTATGGTAAATAGGAGACCAGGACCACAGTCACGTGACTTGTACCGTCCTCAACTCCTCAAGCGATAAAACCGTGAACTCACTTCTGCTTCAAACGATCGATGGTTTCATCAAGGCCTTTATCAGTTGAAATAAAAAAGATATTTTAGAATTTGTAACTTTTGTAAATGTGTGACCCAATTTTAGCTGGAGATAGAGAAAAACACTGGTTTTCTTATGTAATTAAATTGTAATATTCGGTCTTACATACAAGTGTTTTCTTCCATCTGACCAGAATATCATAGTTAATATAGACTGGTAGTGAATAGAATAAAGCAGAGCAATGATTTATGATGAAACTTCGGCAACAAATACAACATTGGAATGCAATTAAATTTCGAAGCGACCTTTTGTTTTAGATATCTTATAGTTAAGCTCTCACGAATGAAGAACTGGTGAGGAACATTGCAGTTTAACTTCATGAAAAAAAAACCATGAAACATTTTCTCCGCTAGTTAACATACCCCATATCTTCAGCCGAACAAGTTCTAGGACACATCAAGCTGTTTGTACCGGTCATGGATCAAGCGGAAGTCTTGATGTAGTATAGACAACTCTCATGGAAGACGTCGAACTCTGTTCACACAGTTTCATAACAAGCATTTAGATAATTTTAATGTTATTTTGATAAGTGGTTATTCTGAAATATAATTACATAGCAAAACAGCGAGATTTCTTACTTATATGTAGAATTATAGAGTCCTTGTACTTCCTTGTAACTGCAGTATCAGTGTGATTATATTGTCATCACAAACATCATTTCCGAGGTTAACATTAGAGCATTGGTCATCGAAATGGTGACATGCAGATGAGGGTCCGCAGTGCTTGATTTGCAGCTCCCTATTCCTGGCTGTTTGTTGGGGCTGAGAAACGGAGCGGTCTTTTCCGACTTGGTTGTGTACTTGAGCAAGACAAGGTATTCTAATTGCTCTGGATAGCATGCCACGGGTCTCCCTATATTGTTCAGAAAGGTTGTCACCAGCCACTACAAGGAGACCAAAGTACAAATGTACCTAAATGTTTGCAACTTACACTGACCTTAGTTATAGTAGACGGGGCGTGAAGAGTGCTAATCACGTTGCTTAACCAAATGGAAGCCTATAGCGACAATTTATTCTGTGTTTGTAAACAGCCATTCAGCGAAAACATAATCATAAATATTTTATACTTAAACCACCGTATTTACGACATTAAAACTAACACTTTTGATAATTATAAAGAGAGAACTGTTGCTCGTACGAAATATTAACACAACATCAGAACTGCTTTATACGGCAAAGAAATCGTGCAAGAGTGTAAAATTAAGTCAGACGGAAATATCATTCGTGTCTTATTACAACATTTAACGCAGAAATACGTCTGATATCAAGGAGTGTCTATATATATAAGTCTTAAAAAATAATTAAATAATTATGTATTAATAACATATTGAAGTGTGGCTATATCGCAACCTCGAAAAATCGAACCCATTTCACTTCATTGTAGAAAGTAATGCTCGCAGATGTGCAAAGAGAATTTGCTATCTTTGGTAAAACTTCAATTTTCTTAACAACTTTTATTCACATAAAATGTACTTTTCCTACGAACGTCGAATCCTGATTTCTGCAGTATTCTCATAAAAAAAAACAAATTTACCAGTGTGTTCATTATTGTCAATCGTCCAAAAACAATTAATTGTTTGTGCTAATTGTTTGATTTCTGTTCTGTCCAGCTACGTCATGCGACAACATTATAACACACAAAGTGTACAAGTATAATTTTTAAACAGTGCACAGACCTGACTGAACAGCAGTCTAAAAGAATGACATAGGTGGTGGTTTTGTAGTAGGTATAATATAAAGTTATAATATAGATAAAATGTTTTAGTACTGACTAACACATAATCTATCGGAAACATTGCTAAATCCAAAAATATCGGAAGTAGATTGAGCTTAAGGGTTATAACATTGGCGATATATAACAAATCAACCCAATACATCATTAGAATATTCGTAAAAATACATTAACATAACACACCACAATCTTAAGATAGATAGATAGAACATAAGACTTCCGAAAACATAAATACCCTAATAACAAGAGAGCTTGTTGTTACAATTCGTTCCGACTCAGAACAATATGTTATAACATAGATATGAAGTCATCTGTTATTTCAATACAAACCAGTAGAAAATGGTTACCGTGAGAAGATTCATCCTCTGTTCGGACCAAAGGAAAACAAACACCTAATCGGCGATCATACTCTCACTCCGGATTTTTGTTTTGGTGATTGATGGGATATCGGTTAACATGAGAAAAGGTTTTAACAGATCTGAAACAAGAGCACTTGTCGGAAATATGATAATACATTGAACAAAACTTAATGTAGAGACTTTGAGACATACAGCTAAGGTCTTGTTTATACACCACTGGGTTACTACTTATCCCTGCCAGGAATCCAGTTGTTTTCTATAGTCTTAACATTAAGAAATGTCAATTTTTAAAATTTAACAACAACAAGAATTCGACATAATAACAATGCCTTAATCGAAACTAGAAATCCATGAAACGAAGTCATACTAAAGATGTACATGGCACTAGTTCTGGTATTTGACAGCCACAATAGGGAGCATGTCAGATATGTATCTATGTTTATAAACGTTACAGGCATGTATCAAAGACAGCTTTTCCGAACGGGGAATCATTGGCTTTGTATTATTCCAACTTTTTAAAGAACGTTTTTAACATCAACACTTGTGAGGCGATATGAATGTCGTCATTAACAGCAAGAATGGCTATTGATTCTGGTATCATAGCAAACATTGTTTGCTCTTGGCCCAAAACAATTTCCCTGTTTATTCGGCCTTAACTGACTCATTGGTTGAGAGAAATAACACACAATAAAAACATTCTAATGGAGAGCATATTAAAATGGAGTTATAGGCCAATATAATGTCCTAATGATAGGGAATTAAACGGATCCTCCAGCCAACAATATTATCAAAGTTTGTTCAGACTTTGCTGAAGGCCGAAGGAAGGCCATGTGAATTTATTTTAACTGTCGATGCTGCTTAAATCAACATCTGAAAACAGTATATTGCATATAACTCTTAGCTATAGACATTGGCAAATAACACTTTCGATTTCCAACCATTTTAATCGGATCAACAATAAATGATGATATGCAGTTTGATGGAAATTTGACAAATTCTTTAATTCTGATATTTTGATAGTCTTTGTAAATACTTCATCGCTGAGGCATTTTTTTTACCTCATGCAAACCGCCAGAATTCACACACGCATGTTTTGCGTATATGTCACTATTGTAATTTACTCTAGAGTGTATTGCATGGCTTAACTTCGTTATATGAGTTATTTGATAAAGCGTGTGTCAGATTTGTTTTCACTGCGTATGCAATTTTATTAAACTAAAACAGTTTTTTGCCATTCAAAGCTTGCAAAAACAAAAAAAGTCTAATTAAATGTTCCAGACCTCACGATTTTCTTGCATGATATCGACAAAACAGTTAACATATATGCAACTTACGGAGATGCAATACTTGTAAGGACATCCAAAGTATCAAACTACTAACTACGAATATTCAATCCGTCGGATGGGACTTAAAACAGTGTCCATTGTGTTCACCTCCTAAAACACAGATGTCCTTCTGTGTTATGAATTTGTTAAGGAAGGGTAAGTGTGTTGATGATGGCTCAGAACACCTCTCTTTTTTCACTTCATAGTTTCCTTATCTCTTTTTGCTCATTATGATTTCTCGCTGAAACGCCGAAAAGTTGGTAAAGAATCCGTAACACTTAAAATAATAAACAAATACATCATTTCTGTGTTATTGTATTAAAGAAAAAATACGAGCATGTTCTGCAATTTAGGTTCAGTGATCAGAGGAAATACGGTCAGGTCACGTGATGGCTAAGGGCTTCACCAAGACGCTTTTATCTCTGACATTTAATCGACAACCAATCGTGACAACGGAAATAAACCCTAATGATTGTGGAATGAAATCAGATTCGCTTTCTGTTTTTGTTGTTTCAGGTTTGCCTTTTAGGTATTTCCAAATAACGGACTCGGGTTACAAAATGGGATTCCTGTGTTATTGAGGCAAACTCTAAAACAATTACTTTATAGTGTTTTTACTCTATGCATGCCATATCATTGTGTATACAGACTTATTAAACAAAAAACACAACAAAAATATCAACATGTAAACAGTCATAATCCAAACCTTAACTCAAAACAACTAGGGCAACATGTGAAAACAAGAGATCCTTTACACGGAGACTCCTGAAAAAGTACAAGAAAATTAAACCAAGTTTCTTTTCTTCTTAGTGAGCGTCTTCTGCTTCATCGACGACATCCGCCATGTAAATCTTCGTCAGTGAGTAATGTCACGTTCCTTAATGAGAACAGGTTCACAGGTAAACGGAACCAACAAGAACAATAATGTACATCAAGCACATCTTATTTCATATCGCTTCAGAAAATATATCATTTCCAATTAAGATTATTAGAACAACCCTACAACCATCCTGTCACTTACATCAACCTGCATCTCTGGACTGTTTAAAACGCAAATATAAACTTAGTATGTCATCACTATTTCAAACGTACAGTAATTTATGTCTTATTTTCAGTAAACTATTCACGATAAAAGCTAGTAAGCCATTTATCAGACCCAAATTAAGATTTCACTAGCTAGCAGTGGCGTAGCAAATGATTTTAGGAGTGTATGCTTTCATGACAGTGTCCAGGGGCGAAGCCACAGAGGGGGTCTAGGGGCGAAGCCACAGAGGGGGTCAAGCGCGAAGCCACAGTGGGGGTCTAGGGGCGAAGCCACAGAGGGGGTCTAGGGGCGAAGCCACAGTGGGGGTCTAGGGGCGAAGCCACAGTAGGGTCTAGGGGCGAAGCCATAGAAAAGTAATGAAAATATCTTAATGGAATTCTAGTGTAATCATACAAACATACATTTTTGCTAAG